TGCACCGAGATCTCATAGTTCTCTCTCAATGCTGGTAGCAACTTCTCTTCAAGATACTTTCTCTCTCCTGTGAACAGCACATCGTCAACGTGGATAAGGAATAACAGTAGTGCTTTTGACTCCAAGCGGCCCAAGCATGGATTGACCTGCGAGAAGACAAATACCTCGGTCTTCAGCCGTGATGTCAAGCGCTCGAACCATGCTTTTGCACCAATCCTCTGTCCTGGCAGGTTGCGCTTCACTAGGAAATGTCCCCCTGCGGTAGTCACTTGCGTGGGCTCCTCCTGAGGCACCTGCAACAAGGCATCTTTGACATCCAAGGCACCTAACACGAAGTTTGGCCCTCCTGACTCTTCTTCAAGCCTCCTCATCAAGTAGACCGCAGGAAGAAATCTCAACGCTTGTGATCCTGTTGCAGGACTGTGGACATCATCTCGCTTGCAATTGGCATACTCCCTGGCTACCAGACGTGAGCGTCTCAAGAACATTTTCGGTGACCCTTCCTTCAAGGTATTTGGTTTGATCCTCCAGTCTCTCACAAACCTGGTCGTCAGTAGCTTGTGGTCTTCCTTCAGCTCTGCAATAGACTCCAGCGCTCCTAATCTTTTCAGCCTCCATTCTTCCACCGAGTCTGCCAGATCATCTATCCACTTCGGTGGATCTGGTGGGGTTCTGTCCAGTGGTGCCTCTGACCACAAAGCTTCCGGCACTTCATGTTTCTCTTCTTCTTCGGCCTCATGAACTTCATAGTCATAGGACCACAGCTCCTCCTGCCCCACTGTTTGATCAAGGTGGTAGTAGATATCTTCACCCACCTGTGTCACTGTATCATCCGCCTTCAATCTCTTTGATGCTGGTGAATCCGCCTGAAGACTATGAAGTGGCTTCACCACTGTCTGTTTCAGCTTCTTGCCTCTGATTCTTGACCACTCTGGGGCGCAGGCATTTTCTGAGCCATAGGTCTCGGTGTTGAAGGACCTGCCTGATTCCTGCTCTCATCAACCTGGTCAGAGTCTTTTGTTCCAACTGGCACCAACTCCGGGATTGGCTCCTCCTCAAAGGTCTTCTTCTTATCTTCTCGAACCTGAGCTTCCTCCGCCACATCTTCTTTACTCAACTCAGGCTGTTTCTCTTTCACCTTGGGCTTCCTCCACTTTCCCTGCAAAGGACCTGCTAAATGCAAGAACCTCTTTGGCATCTTGATCGTCATCTGCTACCTCTGGGAAAGGGACATTGATCTGGGCGCCAACCATGGACGCAAGTCTCTTCGACGGAACAATTCTTCCTCCGAAGTTTTGTTGATACTCCCAACTGTATGCTGTGAAGTTTTGGAAACAAGCCAGGTACTCCTTGTTCATATTAGCCACCCTTCTCACAGACCGGCTCAGGAATACATGGTTGCCATCTCCAATGATCCAATTGTCTTGCAGATCTGTCTTGCCTAAGCAAATGCCAATCTTCCACTTTGGATCTGCTTTGAAACCTTGTTTCGGCTTGGTATATGCGAAGCAGACTTCCCCATATGGACTGATCTTCCCTTCATAGGCCTTGCCTTGGCTGAGCTCATAGCTGGTTGCACCTTGGAAGGGTTGATATCGATTGATCAGCCATGCACTGTGTCGGCATGCTCAACTCCATAAAGGGTGTTGCGAACTGAATCTCAATCCAACTCTTCCAGCAAGATCTTCCATCAAAAGTCGCTGCCAAGCTCCTCACTCTCTGGACTGCATTTTCCACAAGGCTATTCCCAGCCGAGTCATAAATTCTTGTTGTTCTTGAAGTCGTTTTCAATCCAGTAGCACTGCCAGAAGCCACTAGCAATCGAAGAATCTGCCGGGCTGTTGGCTCGTTGTCTGCCAAGTACATCACCGCTTCATGTCCTAGGACCTGGGTGAACGCCATCAACTCGTGGGTGATCAGGGACATCTGGTTCTTGGTTTTCAACGGTAACGCCATCAATGATCCTGTTTCTGAGCATACCGCTACGAGCAACAAAGCTCCTCCTTCTTCAGCTACCCCAGTTTGCGCCTCGTCCTGCTCTTGTTGGCCCAAGGCACCTGACCCGCTGGCTCGCACTCGACAAAAGTCGAAAGAGATGGTCGGGACTCCTTGTTCATGTGACTTGCCCGTCCTTCTACGTTGGTCTTGCTTTGCTCTGTGTTTCATGCAAGACGACCACCAGCCAGCATAAGGAAGATGAGTCCAGTAATGCCTTTTCTTCTCTTCTTCAGTAGGCATCTTTGCCACCGCCTGCTCGATGGGAATCCGCTCCTCAAAGTCCCCTCGCCGCAAGGTCTTTGGCTAGGCTAGAAGAAGTTCCAGCTTGTTCTGGTGATCCAAGAGACGTCCATAGCACTTTTCCTTTCCTCCACTCTGACCGATGTTGTAGAATCCACAGGCTGCTCTGAGATTCCTCAAAGGCGAATCTGCCGTCAACTCAATGCCATTCACCTTGATGCTCCTCGGAATGGCCTTCCAATCTCATGCTCAACTCTTTGGTCATCAAGATCAACTCCATCGTCTTCAACTCCTCCTGGAACCTCTATTCCAGAGAACTCTTCGAAGTCTTCATCTGTGTGCGCTTTCGGAACCTCCAACTCCTCCAAGTCAGACTGACTTGGCCTTGGGTTCCTCTGTTCGTCCTCAATCTTGAAACTGAAGGCTTCAGGGTCGTTGCCTTCCTCAGCCACGAACGTGAGCACTTTACTCTGCTCGTGCCCTCGCAGTTCCTCAATCTCCCCCTCCTGATCTTGGAGCTCCGTCAAAAGCTCTGCGATTTCCACAAGCTCCCATTGCTCTCCACGCTGTACCAAAGTAGACCTGCACATCTTTGAACTTTGGGTTCTCAGCTCTGGGATAAACTGCGGGTTCTGGTAGTTATTCTTTTGCCAGCCGAAACCACTCTCAGCTGCTTTCTTCAATTCTTCACTGAGCTGAACCGTCAACGTGCGAACCGTGTTGGCTTGTCGAATCACTCTAAGGCATCCCTTCACCAACAAACTGCGGTTCTGAAACGTCAACGGCGCCTCCACTGGACCATTTCTCAAGCGCTCCACCACTCCATCTATTGACCAACCAGCCTTCATCAACCTCCCAAATGAGAGAATGGGCTGGCTCACCACATCGCAGAAGGTCACACGCTCTCGAAGAACCACCTTCCTGCCTTCACTGCTTGTCAGGACAATGTCAATGTCCTTGTGACCATAGGTTTGAATCCTGGTGCCTTGAGCATCTTGGAGAAGAGGCGACACCTCATGCACTTGCTTTCCTTTGTTCATCAGATGGCCCGGAAACAAAGAAGCATCAGCACCCGAGTCCACAATGATAGTGAGGGACTCCTCATCTTGTTCATCTTGCTCTGGCCACCTTCCACTCTCCACTTCGAACTTCTGTCCACTCTTGACTTCAATGCATTCTCGTCCTCGTCAATGTCCATGCGGAAAAATCCACACTCATAAAAGCATTGTCCTGCTCCTTCAACGTGCGAATTGAGCCACCCTCTCCATCACTTTCTTCTCGAAGGTCGAAGAAGAGGGGCTGTGAAACTCTTCGGGTGATCTTATTTGCATCTGTTCCGGCGGTTGTACTGGTGGCTGTAGTCGACAATGATGTAGTCTGCTGGCCGCTAACGCTAGCTGCTATTTCCACCGGCATTGGTCCTCCTTGCTCACTTGCGGGTTGCATTGGGCTCGAATTGAATGACAAGGCCGCCGATTCATTCCACTTCGTAGTTGCAGTATCAAAGGCTAAGACTGCTTCTCTGATCCTTGCATAGGAGCTTCCCTCATTGAGCGTGAGGTTGAGGTGCACCTTCATCTGGCCGGTCACTGCCCTCAAAAGAGCTGCCGACTTCATGTCCGAGGACAATTTGCTTCCTCTCAACCGCTCATACTGAAGGAAGTGCTCTTCAAGCTTGAGGATCTGGGGCAACAACGATCCCTTCATGTTGAATGAAGGATATGCCATAATCCCTTGTAGGAGATTCATGGCGCGATTGCGTGCTTGGGGCTGGCAATTGCTCGACATCTGTCGAAGAGCTTCATAGCCATTGAAGCTTTCCACATTCTTCACAACACCAATGAGGCGTCCTTGCACCAAGCTTCCCGACAAGCTGTACAAAAATCGACTCCGCTCTTGTTCAGCCTTGCTCATCAAGTCCCATTCAACTTCATTTGACGCGTTTCCTTCAATGCGTTCAATCTCTTCTTGGAAACTGCCATCAACCACAACTAGGTACTGTTTGAGACTCCAGTACCAATCCCTCCATTGAAGAACCTCTTGCTCTCTGTCTGAGGGCGAAAATGAACCAGGCCTCGGGATGAGCTTCGCCAAATCTTTCTTCAACACTCCATTGTTGCTTCCCTCAACTCCACTCGAAGAGGATGCCGCTTGAGCTGCTTGGGCGGCTTTGGCTGCAGACTGGGCTGCATTGATCAAAGCCTGTGTGAGCTCCGGCATGGATGCCACCACCCATAGACCTCCTGGCCTCCAGAGCCATCCACGCTGTTCGCCTCAAAGTGCAAACTCTCCCACCTTATATTCAAGAACTCTCTCGATGACCTGCTGGTAGGAGCTTCAGGTGTTCCTCAAGGGCCAAATCAACCTCCAAGCAAAGGGCAAAGATGTAGTCCAAGGCGTTCTCGACCTGCTGCTCGAGGTAGCCACAGGCAGTGATTGCCACACCCGTTTATGGTGGCTCGGCGCGGTCGAAGCGAACACGAGGGGCCCGAGCTAGCAGGGGATGTGGGTCAAGTCCCCGTCCGCTGGAGCTCAGAGGAGATCTATCGAAATCCTCGTCCCGGCTCCGCTACCATGCGGACTTTTAGTCTGAGCTTCAAAGGCCTAGACAGTGCGGGATACACATCTTGTGGTGTGTGGACATGACTCTATTTTGGCAATAATTGATATGTTTCATGAATTGTGAAGGGGCCCCCAGCCCTTATCTTCCTGTTCTAATCTCTTTTGATTCCACTATGATCAGCGGATCACAACACCCACACCTTGGCGGCAGCGCCAAAGGTTGCTAAAAGCTCCACCATGGCCTCAGCGCCCCTGCGTCTCCTTCGCGCAACCAAATCCAGTGTTCACAAGTCCATGAGTTGGAATATATATATATATAATGCTCAAAGCCACCTCTCTCTCTCACACTGAGGCAGCCACGCTTGATGCTTTGCAAACGAGAACACAAACAAGAGCTGAATTAATCAAAAGTCAAAAGGCATTAGGGTCGTTGTATTGTGAGTTGGGTGTCTGAGGTTCTGACTACCGATTCAACGAACTTGCATATACTAAATGCAAGCTTGTCTTGTAAAACTTGGAAAAGTTTGCTTTTTTGAACCAAGAATTCATCATGTCGGGCAATTAGAAACACCTTGACATCCGATCCTTGATAGCGTGTATAATTGTCCAATTCCAAAGACAGCCGGGCCCGTCATCCCAATTCCAAAAGCGGATCACATCTTGGTCTGCAGCCTTCGGCTTGTTGCGCACTCTGGAGATCTGCGCACTTTGGGCCTCCCGACGAAGCTGATTGTCTCCGGATTCCGTAAACTATGTTAGATTGCATAATGAGTTTTCATGCCTTTAATTAACCTTTGAAAGAATCACATTCTCGATTTTCTATTGCTGGTAGCTGTTCCAGTCCAGGCTCAAAGCCACCCGCCACAACTTTAGACACCCAACTTTGTTGCAATATCAGGATGTCCAAACTCCAGTCAGTCAGGCGCACGCACAAATCGTGTATGCCCTTTTTGATACATCAAGTGGAGAAAAGAACGCTGTAGGTTATGAGCCCAAGCTCTCTGCAAGCTCTCTGAGTCTGGGGGTGGTAGGAAGTCCACCAGTCGATTGACTGTGTTGAGCGCCCAAGGACTACCACCGCCCATGCTGCCTCATCCCCATCAGGTCTGGCTATGGGCATGATGTTCTCGCCTCATGACATGCTCCAGTTGTCGGAGGTTGGTGAAGCAAAGCCTTTCTTTATACCCTCTGTTATATGCGTCCTGGCTTAAAACACTGTGACAAGCACACCAAGTTTGTCCGTTTGTCCCTTGCCTTCACTCTTCTCATCCTTGTGTTTCTGGATATAGGCTGTGAAGGCTTTGGCGAGCCTTCTGTCCTTCATGTTACGTGAACGGTTCTTTCCACAAGTGACACTTCCATATGTGTCCCGACGTGTCCACGCCAAATTTGCGCACATTTGAAAAAAAAGGTGCCTCCTCCTCCTCATCCACATCAATTGCGACCTCCTGGCAACAGCGCTGAGAGCAGAGCACGACCGAAGCGAATCATGCAAAACAGCAAAACACGTAACAAACAGTTTCAACAGCTTTTGCTTGCCACCTCGTGGGGACCTATTCTTTCAAAATAAATGCTTCGACCATAGCGCTTCATTTTTAATGGGAAATTGAGCAGGAAATATGTAGTGTGTCTTTCTGCGGGGATCCGTAACAGTTCTGCCGGCTCAGCAGCGCGGCAGGACAACAAATTCTATAAATTCCTATAATGTTTGACTGTTCTTGTCGGTATCCTAGATGGGGTGATGTCTACAGGCTATTTTTGAAAATATTGACAGAGTTCCGACAAGAAACACATGGCCTAACATTGTTTCACGCTCTTGTAGGACACTCTTATGGCACACTCTTGTAGGAGACGCTCTTGTGGGTCACCTCTTAAGTAGGAGACACTCTTCTGGGACACTCCTGCGCGACACTCTTGTGGGACACTCTTGCGCGACACTCTTGCGGGACACTCTTGTAGGACACTCTTGTGGGACGCTCTTGTAGGACACTCTTGTAGGGCGGACACTTTTGTAGGACACTCTTTTGGCACAGTCCTTTCAGAGCACACTCACATCCACCAAAGTTGCAGCTTTAGATGTTTAGCTGACACTTGTCACGAAATCACAGCTTCGAGGCAACAGCCTGAAACGCAAGTCCCGGCGGCACAGCGATATCCAACACCTCCTAAAGACCACCTCCCTGCGAATGCAAATCCCAATGGCACAGCGATGCAACTGAGGATCTCACGAAACACTGCACCTGCGCAGCAAAACCATCCTCCACTCTTTAACATGTTACGTTTCTGCGCTATGTCAAACGAATCTGCCACTTCAGGCTTCAATCCAAAACCTCCTCCAAAAGCTTCCCCAATGGCACGGCCTTATCGATCACATTCGGTCGCTTGCGAACGGCGGCGAACGGTTGCGGACATGAAAGCACCATCACACGAACACAGCTCTACCCCAGGACTGAATGCTTTGTCATGCTTCCGTTCTCAATTGTTTAGGGTTTACACGTTGGGGTTTGGCTTCAGGTGGCAGGCTTGGCTTGGCTTCTTAGACTTTGCTCTGGCTTTGCTGGCTTGGCCTGGCTTGCACTACTTGGAGGGCTGGAGGAGCCAAAGCTAGCACCCGTCTGCAAAAGTGTGGCTTCCGTCCACAGGTTGACAGGACTGACCCCATAGTTGCAAGCTCCTCTAGTTCAGGTTTGTGTGTGTGTGTTGTTGATTGGCTGGGTTTGGCCGTTCGGGAGTTGGTGAGGTTGGGTAGCTTGATTCCCTTGCAAAACTTTGCATACAGGTTCTTTAGCTCTTAATGTTCCAGGGTCCCACTTCAAAGTTTGGTGGTTTCCGGATGTTTTCCAGAAGTTTTCAGAAGTAGAAGGTTTCCGGGGGTTATTCTGTCCTGAAGTTTCCGGTTTCTGGGTTTTTAGTTTGGAAGTTGTCTTCCCATTGTCATGTGGAAGTTCGTCGCAGAAGTTCTGTCCAGAGATACTATATGGCGCTTTGATCCGGACATTGTTTCCACGGATCCAGGGGAGCGACCAGGTCAGGTCTGAAACGAAGACGCCTGCGAATGAGAATTTGCTCTGATATCCCAAGAGCCAAACTAGTTCTCCACGATGACTGCGAACTCTAACGGGGATACGCATTCTGTGCACGTCAACTACGTAAAATGAAACAAAGCACCAGAAAAGCTATGGATCTCAACGGTTTGTTCGCGGAAGTTCCAGCTGGTGCTTTCTTACGTCGAACAACCACGGCATACGTTGACAGCGAACTCTGTCAGGGATACTGTACTCTTTCCCTCTGTCCCTGGGTCGCTCTCTCACACAATGTGGAATGGACTGCTTTATACTGGCATCATCCTCTTGTACATGTGACCCTATCATAGATCTTTGACATTCTGAAAGTGCGCTTGGCATGTCGACCAAACCTTTGTCCGTTTGTTACGTTGATGGTAAAAATCCCCGCCTCTGCAACCAGACGTTCATCTGCCGCACGATAGTATGCCTAGCGGTCATGCAGCAAAATGCTCAACATCACATGTTATGTGGCAGGTGTTGCAGTTTCAAGCCTGCTCAGCTTCATCATACTCCATTTACTACAAGATTGGTCTGAGGTCGCGGGTTGTGGGCTTGCCTCGATCTGCAACACCTTGTATGAATACCACCAACAATGAATTCTGTGGCCTTTGACATTAGAATTCGAACTCTCTCCCCCTTAGAATAGAAAAGAACTCTTTGCAGTCTGATTGTATCCCTAAAGCCAAAGTGCTGCAGGCAGAACTGAACCTTTGATGTGCACCAAACCAGTTCCATCATGTCATTGCGAAGCGATGCAAGCAAATCTAGCAACACCAGTTCTTGCAGCCGCGAGGTTGAAAATTGTCGGTGAGGGGTGCTCGTTGAAAATCTGCCCATTTGGCAAGCAAAGCTCCACACGTTCACGAGCTTTCCCTCGACGGGCTACAAGAAACAGTCTCCCCACCACATTTGAAGCAATTCCAAGATCACTTGGCTGGCAGCACACTGGCGATGACCTACAACCATTGTATATATGTGATACGTCAATCTCGGATCCCTCCAGGCGCAGAACCCCAAAGGCTGACTCAGGCTTGCATCTTGGACACGATCTCTGCAGCATCCTTGGAGAGTCCAGCCTGCACCAATCAGAACATGTAGAAAAAATGCTTTACTGATCTGCAAATATCTACAATCTCTTTGTCTTTTGGACATGCTGCCATGGACAGGCCTGAGTAAGCTTCGCCAATCGCTCCTGGATCATCTTTTGTCGCTGCTCATCTAGAAGCCGCCAAGTCCTGCCAAGACCGACAGAAAATGAGAGGAGACAAGTCCTTCAGCACATGCACGACGAACGTCCTGAAGGCACCGTTGGCCATGCGTGCAGCAACCTCGAAAGGTAAGAGGAGAATAGCACAGTGGAAGCACAGGAGAACTTAACAAGTAACAAGAAGCTACTAGGGGCTCCTGGCATCGCTACTAGGAGCAAGGACGCTACTAGTGACAAAGGGCATCACCTTTCGAGTGTCCGCCAATGCCCTGCCTGGGGATTCAATGCATCCACTTTGGGGATCATCTCCAGGGCAAAGTCATAGCCAGAGCCATCTGGAAGGTGAAATTGCGGTGAAGAAATGAAGACGCTGACCACTGAGCGTAATCGATTGGGATTCTTCAAAGAGAACCTGAGACCGGCTGAAGCCCATGGCTGATAGCCACACTCTTGGACAATGCTCTGTGAAAGCACCAGGCTGCATGCTTTATTTGATTTGAGTCTCTGGAGGCAAAAATGCTGAGCCATGGAAAGCATCAATCAGCAACAAACTTTAAGACCAGTCAGCTCTGGATGCTCCATCAACTTCTTCACACGAGGCATCAAATCATCAACATCCGCTCGTGCCTGTGAAGCGAACCACCTAAGTATCAAAGGCGTGGTACTATGAATTTACTGAACAGTGTCCAGGAGTGCAGGAACATGAAAGAACAGGCTCTTGGAACTCGGAACAGCAACTTATGATTCGGTTTTGTCGGTCGCAGTAACGAAAACTAGCCCATCCTCTTGCGTCTGGTTGCTTGTCAATCACGTTGGCGTCGCCCTTTGCATCGGCCAAGAACTGTTCGATGGCCTCTTTGGCCTTTTGGAACAGGCCAAACTGGTCTTGCTGTCCAAACTTGGAGTATGACTGTACTCGACAAGTGAAATACAGTGCTTCTGATGCTTCAACCTGCTTCCCAACTCCTCAAGTCAGCCCCCGAGCCTCCTCTGAGTCTGGCATATTGCACAAGCAGCTGAACGCCGCGAGTTTATCTGTCATGCCCTTGGCCTTGGATCTCGAAATCTGCGTGAGCCAACCCGAGACAGAATCATACAGAATCAAGGTTATCAAACATATCTGGAAAAAGGTGAGACCGTCGACCCGTCGACCTTAAGCATAAGCAGCCCTCTTGAAGTGCTTGCCACAAAGCTCTGCTGCCTTGGCATCTCCTGGCACTTGAGCAAATTCAACAACGTTGCACAATAGAACGATAATAGAAATACCCTGGTCTTCATGTACTTGCTTACAATACCTTTTCGGGTAAAGACTGTGCCCTTTCCGTAGCTTCTTCTCTTGGGCTACAAACATTACTATCTGGCCACTTGCGGACGGAAACTACTGGGCACATTGTGGTGTCCTGAGGTGCAAAGGTAGGCCAGCAGCACATTGCGCAGCCGGCGTTTGCTTGCACTTGGACCATCAATGACCTTGCGCCACTTGGCCACCATCTTGACAACTGCGCCCTTTAGAACGTGCCACTTCGGAACATGGATTCTGGATCTCTGGGTCGGCGTCCAATACCTCTTCACCTTTTCCAACTCTGTTCGGCAGCCCACCCCTACCGATGCTGCACACACGACAAGCACCATGCACATCTAATCAATTCAGAAACCAAAACAAACTGCAAATGCAATATCCGCAACATGCCTCAACCTGCTTGCACCTGCGCACCCCTGCTTCTCCAGACTTCTCTGTCGGTCGCCTAGGTACATAGGGCTCGTCCTCCGGCGGCGTCAACTCCTCGTAGCGCTTCTGCAAATCTTCCTTGAGCTCCGAGGCGATCACTTTGCGGATGCGGTTCCTGGCAGCGTGGAGCCGCGTGGGGTCGATGGGGGGCTTGGCCTCCTGCATCAGCGTGGACTCCGCTGGCAGGATCAGTGCATAGGCAATCCTTAGACCACCACGCACCCACAGTCAGAAGCACGCAGAAGAAGACCAAGACAAACACGTTGACATGTCCGATAAGAGAAAGAAAAGGAAAAGAGTCGAAAGAAAAGGACAGGAAGGAAGAAGTTGCCAAGTCGATCGGGGTCAAGGGGGCTTTTAATTTGCTCAATGCTTCTTGAAGTGGGCCTTAGCATACTTAAATCCAGATGTCTGCCATCCCACAAGCGGCAAGAGTCAGGGAGAGGTCCTCGGTGACCCGATCTTGCACAATCCGCTTCATGGCATCCATGAACCCAGCATCAGGTTGGAAGGCGTCAACATCATCTGCAGCAAAGGCGTCCAAAACTGCCTGGGGTCCACAAGGTTCAAACCAATGCTCGATCAATGAGCCGTCCATCATGAACAAAAATGAAGATCTTTTCTGAAAATGCCAAAACGGCCGCCGGCCCTAGGTTCCCAAAGCTGCTTCGCAGCTGCGGGGTGAATCTTTGCAAGGTTCTTGCAATCACTCTTCACTTTACAGGTTGGTCCACCGCTCCGCGTCCATGGACCAAGTGGGGCGCTGGAGGCAAGGGTACCCTAAGCAAAAGCGTGCCAACATCTCGCACCTGCTTTTGGTTGGGTCTGAGGTGCATCCACTCGCCCATCTCCCCTTTGACATTTGGAGCAAATTGCTGATGACGCTCCCAGCCAGGCTGCGACTTGAACTGGAAGCTTTCAGATGACAGCACCGGAGGCGGAAATTTGGGTGTCTCCATCTTCAATTTGCGTTTGTGAGCTTGGAACCCCCGGTATGTGGCATAAAACCTCTGCAGTTCGGGGAGGGACTTGGGCCGTGAGAAGTAGGTCTTCATACGCTGACTTCCTCGCCAAGACTGGTTCAAATGAGAAAAGTCTCTCGGTACACTGTTCCACTCATGGGCGCTTTCCCACTTTTCTGGTGCCTTGTGCCACAAACCCGGCGCCGGCCGGAACACCTCCCCGGGCCTCTTCTTCGAACTGGGACTCAAAGGTTCCGCAGTGTCACCTTTCACCGGAGGCGCGAGGTTTTTGAATGCCTGGGGAGCGCCCTTCTTCAACCACTTGGCCAAGGCCTTCTTGGAAATGCGGCCCACCCTGCTCACATCCATCTGCGACCAATGCATTTGGAACTCATCGGCTGTGGGAGCTCGCCCAGTAAAGTATCTCCACATGTCCCGGAACTCAAATTCCTCCAAACCGGGTTGCGTTGCACCAGTTCCCTGGTTGCCTACTCTTCAAACAAATTGGTTTACGCCAGAACGGTGGCTCTATGCTTGGTAATGACCACATCTCATGCATTTAAATTCAACGTATTTCAACGTTGCTTAGGCATGCTCAAGTGTGCAGGCTATTTTGCATTTCAGCACTACCCTTGAACATTTTGCACATTACAAAGGAAGTGTGGTCGAAAGCGCTGTTCCAAAGAGAGCCGATTGGTTTTTTGAGATGGACACTCTGAAGGAAACCAAGGGGAAGCACGATGCCCAACAATCTAGCAAGTCGAACAAGGATCACTCAACTCTGCTGCGAACGACAACCAATGCTCTCGCCAGCAACATGAACTACACGACGGGCTGGTTCGAAAGCACAGCAGGCGATAACAGAGGGTAATGATGAGGATTGAGGATTAGGGTTGCAATGAAGATGGTGCTGAAGATGATGATCGTGATGATGATAATATGACGACGATGATGATGAAAATGATGATCATAATGGTGCCATCACCAAGCCTCGTGGGCACAGCCAAACATCCCGCTGCCACACAAACTTTCCACCGTGGCCGCGCAAACCGCATGGCACAGCGACATCACAAATGTCATTTCGCAACACGGTGTGCCACAGACTAGATACAACAATGTAACACCAAGCCTCATGGACACCACCAATCATCCCGCCAGCGACACGCCGCATTTACACCAGTGCGTTTTCCGTCCCTCAGTGGCACAGACTCACGCAAACGCACTTCCATCGAGGCCGCGCAAAAGACATCACAGACTCACAGAGCTAATTTCGCCACACGGCGCGCCACGCATTTCACCTCACCCGCGAACTCCGCAAAGGGCTCCCGCGCTCAGCCAAAATTTGCATTTCACCTCACGTTGACCGCCCGACGCGCACGATCTCTGCAGAGAGTCGCGTTGCGCGAGCATCGGCCGGGCCACCCCGCCGCCTTAAGGGTAGTCAGAAAGATTTCAGTTGGTGTCTTCACCAATCTCAACACCTGTGTCACCTGTATCTCAACACCTGTATCACATGTATCTCCACACCTTGCATCACCTGTATCTCAACACCTCTACCACCTGTATACCCACACCTGCGTCTCAACACCTGTACCCAAACACCTGTATCTATGTAGACGCGTCACACAGGTGTTGCCCCTTCATCTATGCACTTGATGATGATGATGATGATGTTGATGGTGAAGATGATGGTGATGGTGATGATGATGGTGATGGTGATGATGATGATGATGGTGGTGATGGCGATGGTGATGGTGACGATGATGGCGATGATGATGATGCTGCTGCTGATGGTGGTGGTGGTAACACAGTTGAAGTTGGTAGCCGTTCTTGAAGGAGAACCCTTCGCAGGTGCTTTGGGGAAAAGAAGCACCCCCTCACTGCCTCGTCTTGTCTAGCGGTCTAGCGTTTAAAACTCAACCATGTTTTGTTTTCTGAACAAACTCTCCGCTGCTCCGTCAACCCCCAAAATTTTGACAGCAAGAGTGAAGTCAGACTAGTAGGCCCCAGCTTGCACAAACAGGTGTTAGAAACCCAGACATGTCAAAGGGCCTCGCAACCCAAGAAGGTACACCTTGGGTAAGTAGGCTGACATCTGGTCCATTAAGACAAACAGAACTTTGAGCATACAGGAGCGAATCAACCACTCGCTCTAAAGTGCGAAGAACCGGCGAAGACTTGAAGAACACTGTTATATAGACTTGGTCTGTTTGAAGGAACATTATAAGTTCTAAGACTTGAAGAACGCTTAAGCATCACGTTGGTGCAACCCTGCCTGTAGGAATGCATCCGGATCTGCGTCGAACATGGCCATGTACAGACTGGCCAGCTCAATGGGCGGCCTTGAGGGAAGCCTGCGAAGATCGCGCAAGAAGCGCTCAAACTCCTCAAAGTCCAGCGTACCATTTTGGTCAGTGTCTGCCAACTTAAGGCAATACTTCATGGCCTGCGTCAGATTCAGCTCTGCTCGGCCGTAGCTCCCGACAGTCTGTCTAGCCATTGCCGCCGTTAGAATGGCACGTAGGGCTTCCATGAACTCCCCACAGTTCAACTCTTCCAGAGTCATGACCCGATCTTTGTTCCTGTCCATTCTGGACCACAAAGACAAGGCCCATTGTCGATGCTGAGCCATTGACATGGCCGTTGAGCCTGAGCTCTCTGGGGGCCCCATGGATTGCTCTGGCGGTCGAGTCAATCCCAGCCAAGTCAACCCCTTCGCCTCGGCATGGTCTCGACTACCAAGCTGGCCGTGCAAGAACAGCGGCCTTCATCTTGAACCAAACAGCAAGGATGCCGTCATGAATAATTACCGATGAGGGGTCATTGTTGGATTACTTTCTGCCATGGCCATGGCGGCCATTGGACTGCATTTTTAAAACGTTGAGTTTCAGAACTACATATAGTACTACGTACTTGAGAGGAGGGAGACACGAAAGGTAGGACAGCGGGAAGAGAAGAGAAGGCGAGAGGCAGGAACAAAAATTCGACATGGTGATTTATCCCCTCGGAGGCGACCTGTCGTAAATATGTGTTCATATGCACTCAAGATTCTGAGGAAAACAAACTTGCCCCATGGCTCAGATCATCGGTGAGCATTGAATCGGAGCATCATAGGATTTGAACTATCCTGAAACCATAAGAGGCTCACGGAGACGTTCCCCAGGAGAGAATTGACGCGCTTCACAAAACAAACTCTAGGTATGTATCCCCTCGGGGAACACCTTTCGTGATTAGAATTTCATATGCACTCTTTCTGAATGTTCAAGAGGGTTTCAACTATCCTGAAATCATGAGAGGCTCACGAAGACGTTCTCCACGAGAGAATTGAATTTAGAGGGGGGAGGGGGGGGTCTGTATTGAAAAATCAATTCTAAGGGGGCGGGGGGGTCTGTATTCTCTGGCTCTTTGCTTGCAGACCGCAGCACTTTTCAAGCTTGGCGCTGCCAATCGTGCATCTTCTCTAGTGCGCCCACAGCCAGCGGTAGCTGTGTGGAAAAGGCTGAAAATCTCTCAGCCAAGTGGCGGTGGGGCGGCGAACCTTTGAGGCTGCAGGCCAAGCAAAATCACTGTCCTCTCAAGATCTATGCAGGGCCACAGCCCTTTTTGGACCTGTCCATACATGAATCCTGAGTTCATTCACGCCTGTCTCTCTGGCTCTTTGCTTGCAGACCGCAGCGCTTTTCAAGCTTGGCGCTGCCAATCGTGCATCTTCTCTAGTGTGCCCACAGCCAGCGGTAGCTGTGCGGAAAAGGCAGAAAATCTCTCAGCCAAGTCCCAACCCACCATGCATGTGTCGGAGCTGGAGCAGCACGTTGAGCGCAAGGAGCAAGTGAGTAAGCACTTGAGAGGGCTGGGCGGGAGGGCCCTGAGCCCCCTCGACCCAAGCCGGAACCACGGAAGGTGCTGGAGGGGGTGAAGCGCTAGTCGGGCGGTATTCATGCATGATCCCATCTAGGTATTGCACCAAGGTGTTTTCAAAGCCTGAAGTCAACAGGGTCAACTGGTGGACCACCCCATCAAGTTCCAACCAAAGTTCATGAAACACCCGCATCAGTAAAGCCGTACAAAGACGGATGTCCAGCCGAATCATCATAGCTAACAACGCCGACGCGAGCCGCGGGAAAAAGAGCAAAACAGCTAGGGCACCCAGAGTCCTCCAGTAGGTCGACATAATCCATGCGACTTTTCTCAGCCAAAGGGCCGTGGAAATGCCCAGCGCCGCTGCTCTTTCGTCTTGGCGGCCCTTGAAAGGAAGGGCATCGCTAACAGGTGGCTCTACTCCCATTGAGAACCAAGCCGGCTTGATGCTGCGCAGTGCGTTGAACAGCTTGGCCAAAGCTGCTGATATTCTTCTGGGACCTGATCCTGTTCTCCATCTCGCAGCCTGGTTCCTGAAGGAGGAGTCTTCCAAAGCGGCCAGCTCAGCCTCCGACATTTCTCCTGCAGCTGCATGTACGGCCTGAAGCAAAACTGATGAGCCTCATTGGAGAAGAAGCTCTGAACGGAGTCGACCGGAGGAGTATTGAGCATGGAAGAATGACATTGTAGGGTTTCAAGCATACGTCGGCTAGCAGGACTCATTTTTCCC